TCACCGATGACACACCTCTCGTCGATCTGATATCAAAACTGAATACTCTCCTGCGGTATCCAGAAAATCTGATAGTTGTCAATCTCAAATATCGTTCACCATCGCTTGGCAATAAAGGAAAGATATGAAGGTGAGAAAAATACACAAGAAAGAGAGGTTGAATTGTGTTTTCTGTTTCTTAACTTTGTCTCTGATCAGAGTTTAAAATATAAACTGATGTTTAGATCCTGATTAATATAGTTGTTTATCCTGGTTCCTTCCAAACTGAGAGTAGTCCAATCCTCTTACAGCACAAAAGATTTTTCACTATAATCAAAACATGATTATAATCGCTCATGCACTTAAGCATAAGACTTTTCCTTACCCAGACCCTCAGCCCGAGACTTCCTGCTTAAACCCCTCAGGTCCAAGATTTCCTAATTATAACGCAACCTAAGACTTTCTTGCTCATATTCCACGAATCTAATACTTCTTTACTCAAGCCCCTCAGGCTCAAGACTTCCTGCTCAGGTTCCACGAATCCAAGACTTCCTGCTCAACCCCTTCAGGCTCAAGACTTCCTTGCTCATAACACACCCTAATACTTCTATGCTTAGGTTCCACGAACCCAAGACTTCTTGCTCAAGCATATAGCAAGAGATTTTATCTAAACAACTTGTTTAGCAGAATAGAGAATAAGGTGTACTTGATACAAAATTAGACGTACGGGGTAATCACCATAACGAAGACCTTAAGCAGTTAAGATTTTTAAGATATTCAATGCTTAAAAAAATATTAAGGCTTTGTATTACTTACAACATATAACATAATTTCTGCATACTCGATTGTGTTGTTTATTGTTGATATTGTTATTCCTCCATCCAGATAGAAGTGTGAAACACTCCTATCCTTCTCTATTTTTCTTGCTCCTTGATCCTTGTTGAAAATTTAGATTGAATCTTCAGCTACTTATATGGCAGTTGTAGAAGACTAGTCGTTGGAAGAGATAACTTGTACAAGTGCCTTTGTTTCTCTATAGTACAAGATACGTTGAAGATAGATACACAAAAGATCTTAATTCATTGTGTAACTTGTTTAACCATTGTGTCTTCCATGTAATCTAGTACTATAGATCCGTTGAGAGTAGATATTTGTAAAGAATGTCAACTCTTCTTGAGTCTTATGAACATAAACTCTAGCTGAAAATTTGATTTGACAATGCAACTTGTTTTCTGCAGTATGGATAACTTTAACTTTATTACTAACTCTGAATATTCACTAGAGGCTGATACATTTACTAAGTGTAGAGACAATATGCTGCTCTTCTGATGTTGAGACCTTCAGCTTCAGAGTTTACGCCAGACATCAGTTAGAGAGCGTTCTTCAGATTTTGCACCACTATAGGCTAGTAACTCAGCTTCTCTCAATTGTGTTCTTATATTAGATTCTAAAAGTATTACCTTTAAGCTTTAGAACCTGCATATATGGAACACATATTAGATAACATCATTTTTCTTTCAATACTTTATTATCATCAAAATCCAAAGGATATATGACATGAACAAATCTTGTTCTAACAAGATACAGTTCACCAACTTTTAACTGAATACGAATGTAGATTTACATATCATGTGGATTACATTCTACCGTTACGTATCAAAGCGTCTGATTGATGTGGATACACAGATTGAAAGATTTGTCGACAATATTATTAACATGTTACAACGTCCTGAACTACCCGTTTATAATGATATGTAATGTTAAATTTATGTTAACAACTATCAATGTAATGTTAAGTGTTTTTATTTAATGTCAAGTTGGTTTTGTTTCTAGATCTTGCTCATACTATCTATGTTTCTAGTTTGAAGTATCTGATCTACTTTCATATATGCATCACTAAAATATATTAAGAAAACATTTAGAGATGTAACTCCGAACAAAAATTAGGTATAATTGGGGTGTCTCACTTGTTGGGCGTTCAATTTTATGGAAAATGGGTACGTCCGAAGATGCATCTCCGAAAATAGATGATGTTTTTTACTTTTCGCCAAGGATTTGAGAGAACATATAAGGGTAGAAAAATAAATAACCAAAAACAGATACTATAGAACCATGTTCGTACCATGACAATTGTCATCCCTCCGCTCACGTAAGAAAATTTTCAAACCACCTTAACTCTCCTCATCCTTCGTAAATCAAGCACGCACCCCATTTTTTTCAAAGATTGGTTTGGAGATGCATCTCCGAAAATTTATGAGGGCATTTTTTTTTTTAGACGTGTGAGACACGCCATAAGGGTGGAAAAAGAAATTGTCTCATTCTTATACATGCAGGTTAAAAAGTTCTCTGTATCCGCATGAATACTAATGTTTGTATATGTACTCGTATCCTATGAATACCTAAGTACTCATACACATACCTATCTACCTGTATTTTTTAACAAAAAAATAGGTTTAAAATCTTTTTTTGTCTCGTATGTTAACTTTAAAATTCAAATTGATCTCTTAACTTAAAATATATATATATATATATATATATATATATATATATATATATATATATATATATATATATATATATATATATATATATATATATATATATATATATATATATATATATATATATATTGATCTCTTAACTCTTAAAAATATATCAAGTTATTTATTTTTATCTAATTAACGACGAAAAAACTCAAAAATCATTTGTTAATTAGATGAAAAAAGACTAACACAATACTTTTTGAAGAGTTAAGATACCAAGATAGACATAAGTTAAAGAGATCAAAATAAACCCCGAAGTTAACATAAAGGACCAAAAAGTGTACTAAACCTAAAAAATAATCTATCAATTATAATTTCTCATGTCATTTTAAATTTTTAACAATATTAAAAAATATTCAAAGATATTATTACTGAGTTAAGAAATAAAAAACATTTATATTAAAATACATACAAGTTTAATATTGATTTATTTGAGAATATTAAAAATTAACAATTATATATATATATATATATATATATATATATATATATATATATATATATATATATATATATATATATATATATATATATATATATATATATATATATATATATATATATATATATATATATATATATATATATATATATATATATATATATATATATATATATATATATATATATATATATATATATATATATATATATATATATATATATATATATATATATATATATATATATACACCAATACAAAATCTAAAGGTCTAGCTAGAATATACCTCTAATACCCTCTAAAAAAAAAAACTTAAAAGGAGCTTAAAAATTGGAGTTCGTATTTTACCCGAGGAAACTTAGATGAAAATAAGGGTTTGGTGAGTGTATCTGTCCACTTATTAGTGTCCAATATATGCACAACCTGAAGATGCTTGGCCATGACTTTGTCCTTAACAAAGAACAAATCAATCTCCATATGTTTAATATTGGAACGCATGATGGAATTGTGAGTAAGAAGCACAACTGAGTGAATGTCACATAGAATCATAAAGGATTTAAAGGGCACATAAAGTTCAATGAGTAGTGGTTAGACCCATAACAAGTCTATTGTAGCCTGAGACAAAACTTTATATTCTTCCTTTGTGCTAGACCTAAAAACTACTTATTGGATCACCAAGATATTAGATTAAGGTCAAAACATATGGCAACCTCTGAAGTACTAATGTTATCAAAATCTGCAGTCCAGTTAGCATCACAAAAAAAACTATTGTGGGGTGAATTAGGAGATATATGCATTCTATCTATGAATTGAGAAGGAATTCGATTGCAAACTACAAAATCAGTGAAGTTGTATGCTTTTACGTATGGTATAAATAAAAGTTCTTTTCATCTAGTTCTACTAAATTTGATTGAACTAGGTGGAAGAGCGGGCAACAACGGTAGAGGCATCGAAGAAGCCGTGGATAGCAATTTGGAATTTGATACCATAATAGAAATGAGAGAGAGTGAACATTTTCAATTGCAATTGATTTTCATTGATTGAAAAGTTAGTTACATGGGAGAGAAACTATATTATGCATTAATACCATAACAGAAAGTAGAGAGAGTGAACATTTTCAATTGCAATTGATTTTCATTGATTGAAAAGTTAGTTATATGAGAGAGAGACTATATGCATTTATATATGCAAACAGTATATGCAAACAACTTACCTGCTATAACAAGTTTTTCTTATTAGTAGCTACTAACTATATAGTTAGTAGGTGTCCAAGATCTAAAGTTCTAACTGAAATATATCGGTAATAATTGATGAATCAAAATGGGTGATTTTACCACAACAATCTTCACCTTGAAAATGACTACTATGTGTGAATACATGTTCTTTAAATTTACATGAAAGGAGGGTACACGTAAAGGTAGATACTAAGATCTACGTTTAAGAATTCACATCATTTAGTGCACATTTTTACGTACAACAATTTTTCCCCTCCAATTTCTGCCTTACATACATCACTGTTTTAAATGTTAGTTGGTATGAATGAAATAGATTTTTTAATATATTTTCAGTGCAACCAGATTTACAAATCCTAACAATTCCCAACCGACTTGTGTAATATGGAAAAAGTCAAAATTGACAATATTTTTTGTTCTGGACAGAGATGCAATTGTTTGAAAGAATAACAATTCCAGATTTTTAACTATTGAAATGCTTTTATTGGCATAGTTGGGTTATAAGTGCAGCTAACAATTTCCGAATCAACACTTAAATCGTTAATGTGATTATATCATACATAGTGCTGGTACTGCTGAATAGTGCAAGCTACATAATAGCCCTTTCCTATTATGATATTCAACAATAATACAATATGTACATCTGAAAAGAGATTACAATGTGGTATATAATCTTCCCTTTTCATCTGCCTACAATTGTAATATACAGTTTATAGTTAGCCCCTCACCAATGTCTTATGAATCCCCAAGAATTCACTGTCATTCTGAGATATCTGAAATTTACAAAGGATGGAAGAGTCTGAGCTAGGTAGGTATGAGTGCCAATATCTGATTTCTTATGATGCCCATACATTTCTGTATCTCACCATATATTGGAAGATTCTTTGAACTAAATGGCTGTAAACTGGAGACTGCAGAATCTAATACCTGTGCAACATCAGCAGGGGGAAATTGTCGTTCCGTACACTTCTGCATTTTTTTAACAGAGATGTATCATGATGCAGGTAATAGATTGTTAAACAGGACAACTGATTAAACTACAAATGATTTAGAAAGGGTGTTCAAATAATTTACTAGGTTAATTAAATATTGAGAAGTTCAGCTGAAGTATGCATTTCCAACAACCAAACTTCTCAATATTTAATAAACATGTTAATCTGTTAACCTATTTGATTCACAGAATAAAATACAGTTTGTGAATTAAAGGAAAATATTTAAATACACAGGTTTGAAATTTAAAATACTCAGTAGAAGATTTTAAGCAAAAAAACTGAAGGACCTCACCAAAAGAACATGATACAAGACATCATATATTTAAGAAAAGAAAGCAAACAGCACTGGATATGATTGTCCGTGTCAAATGTAAAAGATGGTTAGTAGTTACCACAGAATCAGGTATAGTAGAACTACACAGAATACGAACTATGAACAGAAAGTAGTGAGTGGAGATTGATTGAAAAGTGTTGCAGTAGACTAAAAATTCAGCAGTGATATGAATTACCTGAATCATGAGCAGTGTTGCTAGACAATGAGATATGAGTTCTGAGGGAATTTTCAATTCATTTTGGTCAGATGTACTGTTAAGTTCATCATCTTGTACATGACACCTTGCCAAAATGTTTAATGTGCTGCTAGCATTCAATTGATCCCGGGAAGCCAAAGTAATAGAATCTATGGGCAGAGAACTAGTGACTGAAGCGGTAGGGTCATCAACTGAAAGCCGGTTATTAATAAAATTTATTGCATCCTCAATTCTTTCAACCTTACTTTCGGTCTTCGTAAAAACTGACATTGCCTGCAATGTTTTTTGAGAGATTATAGTCAAATTTAGATCATATATCTTCGTCACCAATAATGTTTAAAATGATACCATGAAGAAAGGTCACTCTACTAATGTTTAGTTGCGTCATCAAGGAAGACATGAAGAAAATCTAATTATAGAAGTGAATCTTTTACTGGCTTGCCCATCAGCAGGCAATTTTCAAAATATTTTTGCTTAAAACTATCAAATCTGTCTTATTCAAACAAGAAATTTACCCGGTATTCTAGTTGTATATTTATCGTCTTTTAAACATTTTCTCTTTCAGTAATCCAAATTAATCCTCCCTAAGAGGATAGACATTTGATCTTTAATAGATGGGGTCTAACTGTTACTGTCTAGTGCAGCATATGCAAGTGACCTTGTTTTTCGGAAACTCGGTATCCGGCCCTAGGTTCAATAAATTAAGGGGACCAATTCAACCTTCCACTAGTGGGTCCAATTGAAACCAGAGTTTTGTTTTGTATGGACTGGTCCAACACTGAAATTGTTAGCACCAGTGGAATTTGGACTCGAGACCTCGAGAGAAACGCACTCTTAGGTCCCAAGCCTTCACCAATAAGCTAACCCCTAGAGATTGTATGCAAGTCATTTTATACCACAAAACAAGAACAAGTTTCAAATATTTGGTTTGAACAGCAAGTATTACGACATATGTTAAGTAATCAAGTGTTATATTTTCTTCAAGTTTGTAATGAATACATGGTCCATTTAATAATTAGATGCAAATATAGCCGTCATTTTATACCTGAGTAGCTTGAACAACCATGGTCCGGGCTTTCCTTCTAGAACTTTCAACAATTTCAGCTATATGATTTTGAGATATAGATTCTTGGTTGTGGCAAGCTGAACAATTGGAAGAGCTAGCCTGACCGCCAGGATCATCGAGATTTGCCATGGGCTTCAATGACAAAACTGAGGAACTTGCTTGATATGCATTGCGTTGCCTCAAGCAAAACAAGCCAGAAGAAACCTGCAGAAGCGCAATCAACATGTGCAATTGTAAATTACTCGAATTGGAATAGGAAGGTGTAAAAATAGAAATCAAAGGATTAAACTCTGCTTAATGGTCAAGATTCATGCCTGTTCATTTGCTTCAGTTAATTGCTTTAGCACTGAAGCATAACTCCTTTTAAAAGGTTCTGAATCTTTCACCGAGTTGTCTCCGCATTTCTGGCTTTCTGATACCCCTTCATTCATGTGCTTCAGTTCAGACAACACAAGTTCCTAGAAGTCCAAAACTAACAGTTTAAAACTCACTTTCGAAAATGGGGTTTTAATAGTTGATATTTTCTTTTTATTATAAGTTATAACAAAAGAGGAACAGTGGAAAAACTGAGATGTTTTTAGGCGGTACCTTCTTTTCTAGAGCACGGGTCAATTCTGTAATAGCTAATATATCAGCTTCTTTTGAATGGACTCGTTCAAGAAAGGAAGACTGAGAACTTGATACTGATTGGCCATTACAAATCTCACTGCCCGCAACTTTTGCTTGTGATTTGCAGCTTGAAGAAAACCCCTAAGGAAGAAAGGGAGAAAAAAAATACTCATTAGTTTGAATTTATCCACTAATAGCAAACTACTAGTACTCATTATTTAATAATGTTGAACATTTATGAAGCTCGGTTAGAGGTGTCGTGGTATCCCACATTCATACAACACGTGTTGGACACCTCATACAAGTGGTATGACAATATGTTTTTTCTTGGCTTCAAAACTGTTAAGAAGTGTGGTTGGGCCTAACTCAACCCTACAAAACCGGTTGGTAGAGTGAGGATTGCCCCCACTTATAAACACATGTTCATGCCATATATTGTCCGATGTGGGACTCTTAACAAAAACTACTAAGATCGATGTCCGACACCCATATGACACATGTATGAACATCTCGGATAATTCAAACAATTGTCTCAAAATTTATTTTATCTTACTCTGGACAGACACTAGACATTAGTTAGACACATCTACAAATATTAAAGATGTGGCGAAGCAATGATCATCAATGCCAGGTTAAAAATATTAAACTTGATTAACATTTTTATCTTTTTTGTTTGTAGATGGATAAACAAATGTAAAATACTATACTGAATATCAATATTTTTTAATTATAAAACAAAAATAATATATAGAAGTAGCGGCGTCAGCGTCCTATGTTTTTAAATATAAACTGTGTCAATGTGTCCATATATTTGTGTATGATGTCCATGTCAGAGTGCTTCATAGATCATTATTTATTGGTTCTGTTTAATTGTATATATTGCTTTTTTACTGAATATATTCCATGTTATCAAATACAGGATAAGTACTTTTATTCATCATGGCACATACAATTATAGATAAGTTATCAAAATCATCTATAATCGAGAAATTCAAAATGAGTTTGATTGAAGCAACTAAAATAAGAATTTTAAATTCCTCTAAATGTTCATGTTTTTTTTACAATCCCTCAAAAATGTTTAATTGTCATCCAAACACACAGCAGGATTTGTAACAACCTAATCATCACCAGAACAGAATCTAATGTCAATTTCAAAATAAATATGCACGTGCTTTAATAAAGTACTGCTTACATGTAATGCGGGTGGTACACAGCGAACATTTATGGCATCTGAGTTCTCACTTGAGGACAATATTGTATGCTCGGAGATCTTTTTGCGACCTATTTTTCCATTATGTGTAAGCTCACTAAGGTTCTCATTTATTCTAGCAGGAGAGATATGGTGTCTTATCAGAGACATGGGCATATTTTCAGATGGATACAAAGGCATGCAGTCGATATCCTGCAATATTAAAATATTATGCTATTAGAGAAAACAATCAATTGATCACTCTATCTAAGGACGGTAGGCAAACAGGATTGAAATTTGAAAGTAGGCTGGAAGAGCAATGCAGATATTCAAAACCAAATTACCAAATAAACAGTATTCAGAATCTCCAATAATGGCAAATAACCTCGAGTTAAAATCAAAATTCTGCTTATATTGTTTAAGGGACAGCAGGACCAGATCGTAGGATGGCATGTAAAAGTAATATCCTATGATCTGTTACGAATAGGACTAAAATGATATCACCATTAACTTTCAATGCATATTGAGGCATTTAAGTTTATTAAATTAAGATTAAAGTCTTAAATTAAAACGTTAATAACAGCAACGTGCCAAAAAGTTAGCATTAGTCATTGCAAACTCACCAAAACTAAAATACCATCATTTATCTAATTACCATGTATCCCATCTCAATTGTCATACAAAATTCAAAAGGTATAAGTCAGGAATGATTAAATACCCATTAATTAGGGGGATGTAACTAAGAAAGGAATGATTAAATACAATAAGGTCCTATCGAATACTAATAATAAAAACAATATCTCAACAATCTTATCAGATTCATAATTATGATATAACTTGCTTCATATTGTGCTGCAAATTTTCACAAATTGGAAAAACAACTTCTATTTTATGCATAAAATACCTCCGCGTGGTATATGACGGAATCTTAATAATAGTAATATAAATAATGGCAGATCAATGCACAAGGCTCCTCCCATTTGTCAATAGAAAAGGAAACATACCATGACAAACTCAACTCCAAGTTCATGCTGGTCAAACTGAACCCTGTATCTACAATGGTCAACAGTCAGTATACTGCCATCATGAACCTCCCTTGTCTTTGGATGAATAGCAATTACTCGCTGCCCAACAATTAATGGCTGGGCCAAATCAGCAGGCAGGCCTTCCTTGGTACCAGCAAGAACTTCAGCATAATGTGATCTGACAGATTCCCGGTACTGATTAAGTTTATGTTTTTCTTCTATCAAAAATTGCTCTGAAAATCTTCGTGGTCTACCAAGAGAACTGCATAAATGAAGTATGTTGTGATATTTTTGGTAAGGACCAATCTTAAAAGCTTAAGTGCCTATCCGGATAACACCCATATAAACATATTATGGCATTTTTCATCCACCAAAATCAAGTTTTGCTGTAGTTGAAGTTATCTGAGTGGTATTTTATGTTCATTGAAAGTAGGTTTGTGGTAAGTAGAATCATTGAGGAACTGAAATTTTTTAAAATTATTATTGAGAAGAATTCATTTTAAGTGAAGAAATTTACACTTGCCTTCAAAAGAATTGGCTCTTGCAAAGTAACTTTTAAATTTATCATTCCCAATGCAAATTAATTACTAAAACCTCTGTTATAAAAATAAATTAAATGATTTTTTTCAAAATTAATTATTCCAAAATTAAAAACAGAGGGGTCCAAAGTTGTTACTTGTTAGGTGAAGACACATGACTGATTCATCACTCAGATAAATCTTAAGGATAAGCAAAGATTGAAATCATGACCATTCAGTAGTAAAGGCTCTAGTACTATATGCCAACAATAAATTCAACCCAAAAAGCTTATACCATCAAGTGGAAGTACACGAATGCTTTTATATCTTTACAAGATTTCATCTAGAATGTAATGGTAGTATAGAAAGAGATAAACATAAGCATTTAAAATCAAATACCTTCTAATGACTCCCCACTCAATACGAGTCAATCTGGGAACATGACCCAGTCCAACATGGTCTAAGTACTCTACAAACTCTCTCTTTGAAAACCATGGGTAATCAATAGCACTATAAAACCATTCAGAGGTGCACCATCGCCGCATTTGATATGAAGACAGACAATTAATAAGCTTTCCCTGTGATAACAAAACAAAGACAGACAATTAATAAGCTTTCCCTGTGATAACAAAACAAAGTCATACAATTGCTAATATAAGATTAAAAGTTCAATATATGCCACTGTGCATAAATGGTAGAAAAATAACCTTGTGACGTTCAATACTATTCCACCAGTAAGAAGCAATGGATTTTTCAGACACTCTTTGATCTTTTTGTACCATTGGTCTTGGTTTTTCCATCTTTCTTCTAGGTCGGTCTCTGCTTACTTGACCGACTTGGTTAGTAGACAAAACTTTTATAGGGGAAAAAGATGAGCCATCCCTTTCTGCTTTGTCAATAATATTTGAAGACATATTTCCTAGGGATGTCACCATTTTCAATTGTCTGGAATGAGCAGTACTGACAGATGATCGCTTGCCTTTAACCAAGGACTTCTTCACCTCATCAGTAACCTACGATACATATCTTGAATAAGGTAAGTCTCAGAATTTGGGTTGGGCCTAACTCATCCCTACAACACCGGTTTGTAAGATGAGGATTGCCCCCATTTATAAACACAACACAGGTCATATCTCTCTAAGCAATGTGGGACTAAATCCACCCCTTTAAAGCTAACACAATGAAGGTGTTAGGGGCTGCAATGAGGCAAGCCAACGAGCCGCAATTAAGGCGACTAGGGGCGGATCGCAATTAAGGCGGAAAGTCCAACATTAAGTCAGCATACGAACATATACAAGACAATGCCAAGTGCAATGTGTACAAGACACACCTTATGGCAAAGCAAGGCAGTTTCATATAGAAGGTGAAATACACAGAAATTTTTTCGTAAAACCAAGTGTATAAGCAACCACAGTATCATTTAATGTAGACTAGATAATGTAGAAATATGATACATAGATGATAAACTGAAATTCATTAAGGATTATGATGTTTGCAGACCAAACCTAGATTGTATTCTTTTAATCATTTAACCTTTTGGGCCTTAATACTTTCTCTAATTCATATTCTTTGAAAGACCAAACAATGAACTGATTGAGGAAAAGAGTATTTTCAATGTGTGACCAAACACTGTTAATAGAATTAGTTGAGGGATTGATAATTGGGAAAATTATTAGGTACTCATACAAAACTTTGATTGGGGGTTATCGAAGTTACATATTGAAACCATGAATCTATAACTCCTTTCTATTGAATTCCTTTAATTGTGTTATTACTGTCATTTCGAAGGGTTGTGATTGTCACTTTGAATCAAACATTGTTTTCGGCAGTCTAAATAATGTAGGGTCTTATTAACTTAATAATTGTTAATCCTGCAGATACTACAATAGTCTTTTATACTACACTTGTGGATTTTGAGCAGCAATAGGAGAGATGTGATAAAACCATTTATATATAACATACCCCTGTGTGAAACTGAAACTCGCCGAAAAAATTTAAGCTGTTAGGTGAAGGCTTAATAGTGGTTTTGTTACATCTCTAAGACCCTAAAAAAACAAAATAAACAAGTACATAAATCTCACTGTTTAGATTTTATAGCAAATACAACATAAGGTGGGAAAAGCAATGTCATGCATGTCTTACGGCCACAATATAAAAACAAAAGAAAAACAAGTTTTATGAATACCAAGTTGAAACACTGAGCCTTAGATGTCTTTTGAATAGTAAGGCCACTACAAACTATTGTAAGTCAAACAACATAAATGTCTGTTCTTTACAAAAAAATAAATAATAATAATGAAGAATTATTTATGAAATAGTTGTGTACATTATCATACGTTGACTAAATATCAAAGATAAAGTGAGGAAACTACTAGTCATCAACTGAGACTGGCTAGTGTATTTTACCACAAACATCAGTTGATAACACATTCGAGCACAGGGCATTTTAAATGGCAACAGCATGTAGGAATGCTCATGGACGGTTAATTTCTATAACCAATCCATAACCATAAATAATCCATATGTTATAATCGGTTTTCATTTTGTAAAATAGTTATAAACCAGTTACTGACTGGTTTTCATTTTGTAAAATAGTTATAAACCAGTTACTGACTGGTTTTCATTTTGTAAAATAGTTATAAACCAGTTATATCCATAACCAATTTTATAATTAGTTTTGATTTAATTGTTTTTTAAAATCATGTTTTTGCAAGAATTTTTTATTTAAAAAAAACAATTTTCTTTTATTGTAAGAAAAAATAATAAAAAAACATTTTTTTATTTACTTGAAAAAAAAAATTTTCAAACTTCTTTTTTCAAAAAAATTTGACTAATTTGATTTTTATTTTGGATATGGATGTCCAAATTATGGATTTTGTTTAAACTATATTAATAACATATCCAAAATATAGATTTGGTTAAAACCATACTAATAATTAACCGGATTTGAATATGGATATGGCTAATTTAAATAACTGGTTAATTTGAGCACCCTTAACAACACGCATTAGATCCTTATAATTAAATTTATGTCCTCATAACATAATATTTAAATTATAACATTTAAATTCATGTATTTTATTCAATCTCAATTGCAAGTTCGCAACCATATGTTAGCAATAGATCTTCTATTGTGAGGACCTATTGAAGGAGAAAGTCATTAATACAATTGGGCCTGGCGGAACAGAAAATGGGTAGCTATAAAAAGTAGATTGTTAATTTAATTAGGAGTGGAATTTAGTAAATAGGAACTGGTTGGTTTGGGAGAGGGCAGGCTATCAATTTCCTGCCATGTGTTTATTTTTTTTGTAACTGCTATAAATGCACAGTCAGAAACTACCTATACAGTTTTAGCCAGACAGAACTGCTGCAGTACTTGTGTATTCGTTATTGTTCATGAATATTATCCTAGCATATTCAGTATATACAATTGACTTAGATACCAGTTCTAATAACACCATTGAATTCCAGACGGATGTTTCGTCAAATATTAACAATAAAATTGGCTGGCATTTCTATCTAATGTTACCAATTCTATTTAAAATCAAAATCAGTTGGAAAAAAAAAGAGAGAGAACAAGCAGGGACCTCTTCAGAAAAGATGAGTTGAATTATATATTAATCTGCTAGTTATAAATAATTTTATACCTTGAATTTCTGGGAACCACTTATATGAGAACCGGTATGTGTTTCATCAATCTGCAACAAACAAGACGTTTCTTACTTGTGCACTATATGCCAAAATACCAGACAGAAAATGTAGTGAAAGTGAAAAACAATCAATTTTCCAATTAAATGCTGGAAAGTAACTAGTTCTTACTTTTAAGGTAGTTGATTTTTGTTTTCTTTTCCTGCTTCCTGCAGTAAGCTGGTATGCTCCCTCTGCTTTGGGAGCAGCAGCTCCTTTATCAGAAAAAATCTTGCCGGATTTACTGGAACTGTTTCCATTATCTGTTTCCATTTTAGACTCATTAACCATATTATGCTTTCCTTCATTGAACTGCACAGATGATTCTGAGACACAGAAGATAGTATAAGAAAAATTACACAATCATAAATTATAAAGGAAAAGGATTGGCATCAACTAAATAAATATTTTCTTTAGGGTAAAAAGAGCAAATTTGTAACATATTGTGCCATTTATGAATGTCTAAAGGCATACATAAAAGAAAATGATATGGTAAAACAGAACAAAAGAAAATGAAACAACCAATTAAGTGAAGCATGTAAAAAGTTATTTAGAATTACTATAATAAAAATTATAGCAGGTTAAGAAGTTAAATATTTCCAGAAAATTAAAAGGTAAGCTCAGTTGATGAATTATTAAAGAAGAAAGGTCTCACTAAAGGGAAGATATTCGTTGGGCTAAAGATAATTGTTATGTTGAATTGTGATGGTAAAATAGTTGAGAATGAGATGATAAAGACAAGTTACGCTAAAAAGTATAAGGAAACAAAAAATGAAGTCATTTAAGATTTTTCTTTGGAGATGGAAGAGATCATCAGTATTTCTATAAATCGTATAAAGAAGTCCTTTTAATACTCAGATCGGCCTTCCATTTTTGGCAAGCAAATCAGTTGCTGAGATAGACCTTAGAGTTGGAAGAGCCTGTTAGACAGACCTTCATTGAATGAAAAAAGGTAATGAACCTACATACCCAAACGGTCTTAGAATTGATTTCTTGCCAAGCTATTGAAAGCTAATTATGAAGGAGTTTGAGTCAGATCATGTGAACATTGGAGCACAATTTCCTCCTTTATTACTCAGGCACCAAAAAGTTAAATGAGAAACAAAAGAAAATGATTTAGAGTCAGTTATATTATTGGTCTTCAACCTGCTTAAGCATTAAAAATATAGTTAGACACTGATGCTTAGAATAGTGCATCCCCGCCAAAGAAGTAATCATGACAAGAACCCACAGCGAGAAGTAAATGCAATCCTATCACCAATAACAGAGATCCTTAAAAGGACATACATTCCTCTCCAATTCTATTATTATTATTATTATTATTATTATTATTATTATTATTATTATTATTATTATTATTATTATTATTATTTTATTATTGTTATTATTTTTTCATTTATTATTATTATTAGTATTATTATTATTATTATTATTATTATTGTTGTTGTTACTTTTCATTTATTATTATTATTATTATTATTGTTATTATTATTATTATTATTATTATTATTATTGTTATTTTTTCATTTATTATTATTATTATTATTATTATTATTATTATTATTATTATCATCATCATCATCATCATCATTATTATTATTATTATTATTATTATTATTATTATTATTATTATTATTATTATTATCATTATTATTATTATTATTATTATTATTATTATGAAGTTCAAATTTCAAAAGTTAGAGCTCAATGTTTCTTAAATGGAAGATTCAAGCTGTAAATATGGAGACAATTTTTAGACATACCAAAAGCAACCCTTAAACACAAAAATCAGAAAATTACATGATGGCATATTCTCCCACTGTGATATTATTGAGTTAATGATGATGAATGATCAGATGTGTGATCATTTATGTCAAATAATGAGGAGGAAAAATGAATGGGATTAGTGCATATAATAACATAACCATTCAAGTTAGATGATAGTCCTTGCAATTTTCTTATTTATTAATAATGATCCTTGGGAAAAAGGGAAAATCATTAGTTTAAATGAAATTGATCAAAGATTATTAAGTCAAAAACATAAATTCCTTACCAGTGTCTGGGTTTGATGTAGGCATCATTAAAGATAGATCAGCCAAAGTTTTCAGAGCATCGAAAGCCGAACTTTCATCTACAAAGAGAAAAACACTGAGACAAGAAGCAATTGGGAATGAATGCAATAATAAAGAATTTAATTTAATAAGGAGTAACAGCCCAATCTTAAAGCCTAGGAAAGCAGTAGAAGGAAAAGAGTAAAAGACGCACCACCACCTACTATGTAAGATTCAATCAAAACTATAACCTATTCCTGTCCAAATAAATTTAGGCTAAAAAGGAGCAATGAGCTAGATATCAACAAAAGTCTACTTCAATTCATCTATCTTGCATTCCACCCCACTCAATTATGGATTATTATTCAATTGGTATTCCTTTCCTGCTTGGACAACACCAGGTGCAACATGCAACAACTGAAACGCACCAAAATAATAAACTCTTGGCTATCACATGGCAAATTTGTCCAATAAAATATTAGGCTGATAAAAGGATTGTAATGCTTGTAAGGTTACAGAGGGAAAACAAAACTTAGTTTGCATTCCCAAAAAAAAAGTTATAAAGAAAATTGAAAGAATATAGCAGAAAAATAAACGGAAAAAAACGTAACCACAAACCCATAGATAAAACAACTATAACATCTTGCTTAAATGAAAAATGTATCAGCCAGAGTTGGAGCTTTTGCAGCATCTAGTTTAGTATCAGATAGTTTAGTTAGTCCCTTAGCAAAGAAGATTGATTTCTATGTCACTTCCATAGTTCTGTAACTTCTCTTTCACTTTAATTAAAATAGGTTACGAAGTCTTTCCCTAGTATTGCCTAGAAGAGAGGATAGTCCCCCTCCAACACACAGACTACGACTTTTACAGTTTTACTCATTAAGGGAAAAGAGCAATATAGTCTGGAGTCTAAGATCCTTCTTTCAGCGAGGAATACAGTAAGCTTTGTTTCATGACAAAAACACCAGATAAAAGGGAAAAATGAGGCAAATTTGTAGCTATAAGGAAAACGAACTTTATGAAGAAGGGAATCAAATGCAATTACAAAATACCTTTCTCAAAAAGTAGTTTTTTACTTTTCTTTCTGGGACCCTTGTAAGAAGACCTTGCACTTTTTGCATTTGGAAAATCTATGTCAAAATTAGACTTGAAGGAACTCTGGTTTTTACCACCATCGGTCCCACTGGAGGCCTCCTTCAGGTCAGTCAAATGCTTGTTCATATTTTCCTCGGGTTTTAAATTCTTTCTGTAGTGTTTTATTCCCTTTTCCTGATTCCTTTCTCTTCCAGGATTTTCACTACTCCTCCGATAAATTATTTTTCTAGAATATTCTCCATTATCACCTTCTGTACTTCCTAAACTCAACTCAGAACTACTCTCATCCATGTTAGAGTTGCCAAACTTGGCTCCAACTATTTCTAATTTAACATGCTGAAAACCATAACAGCCTAGAATAAGTTATAGTTTTAAAGAAATAAAATAAAGAATAACTGAGATTATAAATGTAACTTATTACCTTCTTCCCAATTTTCAATTTGGGTGATGGCATGTTTTTCTTGTTTGACGATCCAATATTTTTTGATGAACCACCTCGTTGTGAAGCCTCTGCCAATGCTAATGCAATTTTATGAGTGACATCATTTGTATCAGCCATTTGTTTGGAGTCCTGCCGTGCAGATGAAAAAAACTTTCCCCCATTATCTTTGCCAATAGAATATGAAATAGGGACACGGGGAGTCCTTTTTCGAACAGCATGAGGTCTGATTCCTGAAATGGAATCACAAAACAGGTAAGAGTAATAATAGATTTTACTTGAGCAAGAGAAATTCCTTCGTGTTTTTAAAAATTAAAAAGACTCTTTAAAGATTAATTTAGAGTAAGAGTAAAAAGTGTGCAAATTTTAGAAGAAAAAAAATTATTCTAGTATTCATTACTGTGCAATATACAGTTGGAAACATAGTTAGAATGGGTTAATATGAGATAAACAATCTGCAACAAATTTGAAAGCCAAGTGACAAAAATAAGGGATAAGAAGAAGCCTCCTTATCACAATCTGAATTTTTTATTTCAGATTTTATTCTAACTAATCTACAAAATTCATCATTAATTTCTAGCAAACTTCAACACCTCCTCCAAGTTGGTTGATAGGTATCTGTCACACCTAGCTTACTTACAATATGTTCAAAATTAGGTAGGAGTTTTTTGTTAAGATATCTTCTACCTGTTGTACAGTTGAAACAAATGTCATACAAATACTTATTGCAACCTTTTTTGAAATGTTTGCCAATTTACTGAAATTTGGACAATACTTATTGCAACCTTATTGGTATGTTTATAGGCATCCCTAATTCTTCAAGTATTTTTAGCCATAACATGCCACAGGTCCCATGATCCATAGTTTTAAATTCTACTACAGCTCTGATCCTTTCTGCGACGTTCCACTTTTGGCTCTCCATATAACTATGTTACTATATACAACTTGCAATGACTGACATAGACGTTTCTCCATGAAAGATCCTGCCCAGTCACCGTCTGTGTAGGCCTCAATGGTCTATTGTATGGTCTTTTTTCAGAAAAGACCTTTGCCTGGGGCACTGTTCAAATATCTTAGAATCTTATATAGTGTGTTAAGATGTTCTTCATGGGGTGAATGCAAAAGCTGACTTACTAAACTCATTGCAAAGGCAATATATAGGGAATCAATTTTCCTATTTTCAGCATTATTTGATTGTACAAAATCAAATTCCTTATCCTATTTATACTCATATGTAACCAGTTTTATCATCAAGTGATAAACAATCACTTTAACGCACTAAATATGAAGGCATACATTGATGTTGATTATGCTGGTTCAGTAAATGATCGAAGATCTACATCTGGTTATTGTACTTTCTTGTGTGAAAATCTTGTTACTTGAAGAAGCAAAGTGCAGTGGTGTGATCAAGCGTTGTAGTAGAGTTTAGAGTTATGGCACTAGGAATTTGTGAATTATTGTGGATGAAAAGTGTTGAAAGATTTGAAGATACATTGTGAAAGTCCTATGAGCTGCTTTGTGACAACAAATTGGCCATTAATATTGCAAAGAATCTTGTTCAACATGACAAGACTAAACACATTGAGACTTATCTACATTTCATTAAAGAGAAGTTGAATAGTTTATTGCTAACTACCACCTACATTTCTTCTGGATATAAGCTGTGTTAACAAAGGGTTTACCAACTGAACGGTTCAACCAACTTACTTGCAAGCTTTGAATGATTGATATTCATTCATAAACTTGAGAGAGTTGTAAATAATAGATTGCATTGGTTTTATTTTACCTTTAGTTAGTTTTATTTTATCTTCAATTAGTTTTATCTCATCTTTAATTAGTTTTATCTTATTGTGTAGACTTTTAAGCAAAGCCTATTAGATCTAGATTTTTTTCTATTTAAACAAACTAATTATTGTATTGTAATATAACTTTGAAATAATATATTATAAAACCTTTTTCTAGAGTAATGTTCACATGTAATGGTGTTGAAATATAATATAATGTTTCTTTTTCTTATCATTCTAATTTCATGTTTATTTTATTTTCCTTATATCTCTCCAAAAATTAAGGATTTGATTGATTGTATTTTTTCCTATAAAAGGAGGAGCCCCATCATTCACAATAATATATCACAATATTATTCTCTACATGGTATCGTGGTATCTTGAGCCTGGTTAGGGTTAAGGTGCTACTGTAAAGCTCCCTGCATATGTGCTGTTCCTCCCAACCCTTTTTCTGAATCAACTCTATCAATAGTAGATCCTACTCAATGGCCACCCTTAGGTTACCGTCACCAGCTCCTCCACAAGTCCTATCGACGCTGGCTCAACAGGCGACAAAGGAGTTGGTGGAAGCCATGGAACCCTAGACAAAGGCAACGCCAGTTGCAATGAAGGAAAAAGTTCAAGCGGCTGGATCACCGTGGTGAACGAGGTTTTGTTCCACCAAAGTTCAGCCTAGATGGTGGATGGAAATTTATTCCACGTATGTTGCACATAACAATTTTTATGGTGGATTCAGTTACCACAGAGGTATTCCCAATAACAACTATGATTATGTCAATGACGGAGATTATAGTAGCGTTGGATCATTCAACTCAGGAGGTGGAAATAACTCTCTCCAAGTTAATATTCAGAAACTTGATGGCTCAAACTACACGGATTAGTCCCAAAGTGTCCAACTTATCTTAGACGGCAAGGGAAAGTACGGTTTTCTTACTAGTGATGTTCCTGAACCTGTAGCAGCAAATCCTACTTACAAGTTCTGAAAATCTCAACATTCCACCATTACTGCTTGGTAGATTGGTTCAATGGAATTGGGAATTGCAGAGCCATATAGGTACTGACCTACAGCCAAACATGTCTGTCTGGGATGCTATAAAGATATCTACTCTAGTGTTTAGAACTCTTCTCAAATATATGGCCTGAAATCATAGTTATCGAGCTTAAAGCAGGGTAAAAAAAGTGTAACATCCTACTATGACGAGTTGATAACCCTCTGGCAAGAATTTGATTTGTGCTATGACAACAACTGGAAGTGCACTGAAGACAGTGTCCTATTTATCAAGAGGCAAGAAAATGCGTGTGTTTTTATTTTTCTTGCAGGTTTGAATAAGGAGCTTGATGAGATTAGAGCTCAGATTCTAGGAAAAAGTCCATTACCCATCCCTTCGGAAAACTTTTTTTGAGATCCGAAGAGAAGAGGCGAGACAAGAAGTGATGCTGGGAAAATCAACCACAGACGGGTCAACACTTATCACAAAAAACCTTGTTGAATACAAGAAAGATAGTAAGAAGTCTGGAAGACTCTGGTGTGAACACTGCTAGCATTCTTGGCACACATGAGACTTGCTGGAAACTTCATAGAAAGCCTCCTAATGCAAAGAAGAAAGGTGAAGGTTGTGCATTTCGAGCTACTTCTGATCAAGAGCCACAATCTTCCTCAACTATATTTCCGCTCACCAAGGAACAACTAGATCAACCGTACAAACTCCTTGAATCTCAAACTCCTTCCTGATCTGTAGTCCAGAAAGGTAATTTTTCACAATCAACCCACCTTAGTGTCATTCCTAATCATAGTTGGATTGTTCATTTTAGAGCCACCGATCACCTGATCAGAGAATCTAGTTTATTTTCCTCAAAATTGAAGTTGTCAATGACTCTCTTTCAGATGTGGCAGACAAAGGTTTTAATATTTTGTCTCCATTGATAACCATCCAAGATATATTACATGTTTCACATTTGTCTTTCAGCTTATCTGTCAGTAGGGGTGGGAATAGGTCAGGCTGAGTGATAGAGACCTACGGCCTAGTCTATTTAACCTTGGTCTGGCCTAGCCTACTTATTAATAAGGCCAGACTTACACTTTTAAAAAAGCCTATTTAATTAAATAGGTCAATTTTAGGCTATCAAAAAAGCCTATAAAACCTAATAGACCGGCCTATATAATTAACTATTTTCAATGTATATTTAGATGTATATTACTCTAATTATACACAAACTCTACTAACTATGTTTCACAAAGATATGTACATGTCATATAATTATGTTCCATGTATATCTGCACCTAAAGAAAATGCCTTAGAAAAATCAGACGAACTTACTCCTACCATGAGTAAGGATCATATCGAATCTAAGGCAACAAATCAAAACAAGAATCAAACCAGTGATTTTTCTGAAATTAATCAAAATCCACCACATAAGGATCCTTGTGATGAAACAGAAATTTTTTGAAGGAGGAGACAGAACTTGGATTGGCCTCTCCACCAGCTAGATGTAAAAAATGTCTTTTTCAATGGTAATTTAGAAGAAGAAGTGATATGGACTGTCTCCAGGCTTCTAAGAAAAATTTGGGTCACAAGTGTGCAAACTAAAGAAGTTTTTGTATTGACTAAAATAGTCTCCAAGAGCTTGGTTTGAAAATTTTACTCATACAGCGAAGAAACAGGAATATACCAAGGACAAGCGGATCATACCTCCAATCAACATACAGCTTCTAGTAGGGGTGGCAAAATGGATGGATTGGATTGTTAATGGATGGATCAAAGCAATCCATTAATCCATTAACAATCCACTAAACTCTCTTAATAAAAATCCAATCCAATCCATCCATTAAAAGATAAAATCCATCCAATCCATCCATTAACATATTTCTAATGGATGGATATTCATCCATCCAAAAAATTAATTTAAAAATTTTTAATTTAATAAGTGACAACATAATATCCAATGGATTTATAAAATGAGATGGATGGATTGAATCCATCCATATGAGTTAGTGGATGGATTGAATCAAATCCATTAAATTATTTTTTGTCTTATGGATGGATTGGATGGATATTATCTAAATGGATTTCATTGCCACTTCTAGCTTCTAGTATTCTCTTGATAGATTCTAGTATTCTCTGCTTACTGTTTGATTCCTTCAATCAACAGATAGTTTATATGTTAATCAAGAGTTTGGCAAGGACAACATTTGAATATTTGATCAGCAAATTGGACATGATTGATATCTATGCACCTACTTGAGGGGGTGTTGAAATATGATATATTGTTTCCTTTTCTTATTATTCTAAGTTTATATTTATGTTATTTTCCTTATATCTCTCCTAAAATTAAGGAGTTAATTGATCGTATTGTCTCTCATAAAAGGATCTCCTTTATTCATAATAATCTATCACAATATTATTCTCTACAAATGGAACCATATTAACTCACCAGAATGCCTCTTCTTCAACAATGACAGGCAACCATCATCTGATGCAACAGAATGTGGCTGAGAATGATCTGAAAAGTGTTCATCTACTGCTTTATTGTCATTTTGCTTTCCCCGTGGACGTTTTTTAGACTTTTTAGATATTTCTGCATCTCCGTTGCTTTCTTTTCCACTGTCACTTCCTCCCTATACCAATTAAAATTACTCAAACATTAATCGTTTATGAATATTTATCAGAAACTAGTGTTCCCTATTGAAAGTTATACAAAACATATTAATCAATGCTGGTTTAAACTAGATACAATTTAACACCCCTAACATTTTAGTGAAATTTATCTTATAAAGGAGCCTTTTCTTTATGGCCTAGCAGACCGACCTATTGGAAAAAAGCTTGGTTGCTATTGTTGTCCTAGTGAGCCTTCTCTTTCAATGTTTTACTTTCTAGTGGCAGCCTAGGGTAGGAATGCAGAGGCTCTAGATCAATAAACTAATTATTACTTCCCAAATACAGATTTAGTTAAACAGACAAAAGATAATTACTGCCAGCATCCATCTCTGTTGCAATTGACAATCTACAAATAACATATTGTTGTTTATATTATTATATATAAAATAAATTCTTTGGAAATCAAAAGCATATATAAAAATAAATAAACCCTCAACCTATTGGTCAGAAAAATCTGCTATTGATTGTTCTTTGTAGTGGAACAACCTATATTATCCTTTTCAGTTCAGGTAAACTGAAAAGACTTTCATTTTCTTTCTACTCATTGACGTGTATGTGGATGTATTTGTATTGATAGAAAAGAGACTCTTTAGATTTTCAGTATAACTGAGCCAAATGAAAGTGAAGTACAATGTGCCTAAGATCATGACACTTGCCAGTTAAACTGAATAGCAAAACTCATTAAAAAAAGTGGCATGTCAATTAAATTATCAGTATTTATGAAAACTCCTTTTGGAATAATACAACTTATTATCATCAAACAACTTGTGAAAAGAATTTGAAGAGGGGGGAGGCGGTAATCTTTAATATAGCATCTGAAAAATGAAACCAACTTGACACAAGAATGTTCTAAAAACAGGAACAGTGATGTAAATGTTCACTAAAACTTACCAAAAGATTAAATTTGTTCTTACCAGTATACTATAATGATCAGTCATCATTGCTATCAGTCCAACAACAGAAGCAGTGCCCTCTGGAAGAGATAAGTATGCCTAAAAATAACACAATAGTCTTTTTACAAAAATCTACCACGCAATTTAGCTTATCCTTATCCAAATGACATCAACTAATAATTGGTCACAGATGTCCTGCATTCTGGTCCAAAAGCTAGAAGAAAAGAATCATGTACTAATTGCTTAAAGTTTTAAAACAGATATTTACAAAATACTTTAGCAATTTTTTTAGACTTCAATTATATCTTTTCTATTTCCTTTTGTTTCCGTTCATATAAATCTCAGGGAGGCATTTGTTTCAAGACATGAAAAATAACTCCCAGATCCAGGTCTAATTTTCCTAGGAATATAATTGATGGGAATATTACTCCTAGGTATATTTTTTTTAAAAAAGTGTTTCGCTGATGGGTTGATGCGTGAAAAATATGAACAAACAGTGGAGAAAAAAATAAAGAGATGGAAGAAAACTGCAGTGGAATTAATGGAAAATCAATTACAAGAGTAGGAGAATGAATAATGACAAAATAACAAACTGGTAGTGACAGTCACTATCAACCACTGTAGCACGCAGTGCTCCCAAATCACTGTGACCCCACACAATAACAGAACTCTCAGCCGATTATTCTCTCTGACTCCACCCACTAATATAGAAACCTCTCATGCAAATCATGCAGCCACGTCATTATCCCTTATTCCTTTCCCTTTCTTTCTCCTGTAAACCCTCCAAACCTTTGGCTTGGGCCCACTGTCAAGGCCCACCACTTGATTCACCTTTCTATCAACTCCCGCCTCCATAGAAACAGCCTTGTCCTCAAGGCAAAAATCTGGAAATTGACCCTGCAACACTGCATTATCCTCCCATGTCACATCCTCCCATGTCTTGTGCTTCCATTTAATGAGACTTTGCTGCACAGTCACTCCTCCCTTCACAGTCACCCTAGAGCCCATGACCTTCTCTGGATACACATCACTCTCATCTGTGAGTTCCAAATCTTTGGGAAGTTTCCCTAGCACCTGATAGTCTCCAACTGCTTTCTTCAATAACGACACATGAAAAACAGGGTGGATCCTGGACTGATCAGGCAGTTGCAGCCTATATGCCACTTCTCCAACCTTAGCTACAACTTTGAAAGGCCCATAAAAACGTGCCGCTAATTTTTTATTCATCCGTTTAACCACTGAATGTTGTCTGTGAGGTCATAATTCCAAAAAAAACCCATTCACCAACCTGAAAACGCACATCTCTTCTCTTCTTGTTAGCATAGCTCGCCATCTGTTCTTGCGCTCTTTGTAGATGTGATTTAAGTTGTTTTAGAGCCTCATCTCTCTCATTTAGCTCTAATGCCACCGCAGCCACCTTAGTCTCATTTAATAAAAACCGCAAAATACTAGGAGGATGCCTTCCATAAACCACTTCAAAAGGAGTTTTCCCAATCGACACATGATAGGTGGTATTGTACCAAAACTCAGCCCAAGAGAGCCAATTTGACCAATTTTTGGGCTGATCTGAAGCAAAGCATCTCAAATAGCTTTCCAGACATCTATGTATCACTTCCGTTTGTCCGCCCGCTTCTGGATGATAGGCAGAACTCATCTGCAATTTAAATAATTCCAGCCAGAAATGGCTCACAAATAAGGGATCTCTGTCACTGATAAGGGAATTTGGAATTCCATGAAGCCTCACTATTTCTTTTACAAACAATTCAGCAATGGATTTCGCTGTGTAAGGGTGCTTGAGCAATATGAAGTGACTGTACTTGGACAACCTGTCCACAACCACAAGTACAGCCTCATAACCCTTAGACTTAGGCAAACCCGTAATGAAATCTAGAGAAAGATCCTCCCAAATACCATTAGGAATGGGAAGAGGTTGCAACAAACCTCCGGGAGTCGTGGCCGCATATTTTTGTCTTTGGCAGACATCACAAGCACGCACAAATTCTCTCACCGACTTCTGCATTCCAAGCCAATATAAATTATCCGCCAGCTTCCGATAAGTTCTTAAGAAACCTGAATGTCCACCAGTAGGAGTGCAATGAAATTCCTCCAACAGAAGAGGGATAGATGGGGACTTAGGAGAAAGAACCAGCCTGTCATGATAAAACAACACACCTTGTTTAACAGAATAGCCTGGCTTAGAGTCAGGAGCAGACAACACGGTTTGTATCATGTTCTGAATTTCTGGATCATCTTTCACCTCATCTAAAAGTTTCTTGCTATCGGTCCATTGAGGGTACAAAATCAAAGTACCCAATTCAGCATCATCATAACAATGGATAGAGCATCAGCAGCTTTGTTCTCCATCCCTGGTTTGTACTTCACCTCAAACTGATAGCCAAGCAACTTAGCCAACCAACACTGCAAGTCTGGGGAAGTTATTCTCTGCTGCAGGAAGTGTTTTAGACTCTTGTGATCAGTGTATACCGTGAACTGCTTTCCCAACAAATAGTGTCGCCAATGCTGAATGCACAATACAAAAGCCATAAGCTCTTTTTCATACACAGACTTCGCTAAATTGCCCTGAGATAATGCTTTGCTGAAAAACGCTACAGGTTTCCTCTGCTGCATTAACACTGCTCCGATGCCTCTACCAGTTGCGTCACATTCCACTTCAAAGGGTAGAGAAAAATTAGGTAATTCCAATACAGGGGGTGAAGTCATGATAATCTTCATCAAGTGAAAAGTTGCATTTGCCTCTGTTCCCACGCAAAGTTGTCCTTCTTGGTCAGCTCAGTCAAAGGCTTGGCCACCTTGCCATAATCCTTAATAAATTTTCTATAGTACCCAGTAAGTCCCAGAAACCCACGAACTCCTTTTACGTTCTTTGGTTCTGGCCAATCCAAAATACACCTTACTTTCGCAGGATCTACTGCTACCCCTTCACCTGAGATGATGTGCCCCAAGTAATCAATCTGCTTACACCCAAACTTAGCTTGATTTGCAATAAAACAGTTCTCAAGTAAAACAGCAAGAACCTAACTTAAGTGCTTTTGATGCTCTTGAATGTTCTTACTGTATATGAGGATATCGTCCAAAAAAAAACTAAGACAAATTTCCTTAAAAAAGGCCTAAAAATATCGTTCATTGTTGCTTGGAGAGTGGCTAGAGCATTCGTTAACTCAAATGGCATCACTAGATACTCATAGTGGCCATTGTGAGTTCTAAAAGTTGTTTTGGGAATATCATCTTCATGCACCCTGATTTGATGATATCCGGATTTAAGGTCAATCTTCGAAAAAACAGTCGAGCCATATAATTCATCCAATAATTCGTCTACGATGGGAATAGGGTACTTATCCGGAATAATAGCTTTGTTGAGGGCTCTATAATCCACACACATTCTTCAACTTTTATCTTTCTTTTTTACCAAAATCATCGAACTAGAGAAAGCACTCATACTGGGTCTGATCACTCCTGCCTGCAACATTTCAGTCACTTGTTTCTTAATCTCCTCCTCCTGATGGTGAGGATACTGGTATGGCCTAACATTGATTGTCCCATGATTTGGAAATAATTTGATATGGTGCACTTGAGACCTCTCTGGAGGCAGCTGAATTTGATCTTTAAAAACTGCAGGAAATTGTTCCAGAGTTGCAATTAATTTTGTTGGCAGAGAGACCTCACTAGCTTCCAATTGGTGATACTGAGACCACCACCATTCAGTTCCCATCCTATTCCGCTTGTCTTCCAAAAATGAGTTCAGATAACTATGCTCCCCTTGCCTGCTACCTTGACCCAACACCTTTACCATCTGCCCCTCATACATGAACTGCATAGACAACACCTTCCAATCCATTACTACCTTTTCCAGTGTGCTCAGCCACGAGACTCCCAACACCATATCCAATCCTCCTAGATCCAGTACCAACGCATCAATGACTACCTTCACAGACCCCATCTTCATTACAATTCCTTGTAACACCCCTTGAGAATTCACCCTATGTCCATCTCCAAGTTTGATGCTCCTAGCAGGTTCAGGAGTGATTTCTAACCCCAACGCATGTTACTTGAGGGGAGATGAAATTTTGGCTCGCGCCACTATCAATCAACACTAACACATCCACATTTTCAATTTTTCCCTCAACCTTCATGGTACGATTTCCACACATACTTCCCAACACACCCATGGATTTACATTCTACCTCATCCTCTTCGTCATCAGATTGCACTTCCTCCATAGATACGATTTCACCTTCATCGTTAAGAGTTTCTCCTTCACTCAAAATCAACACTCGTAAGGATCTCTCCGGACACTTACGGAGAGTAGGGTGATACTTGCCTCCACACTTGAAGCACAACCCCTTCGCCCTTCTCTCAACCATCTCGTCGTTGTGATTGCTGTGAATCCCTTTCCATTTTGCAGATCACGAATCATTTTCACCTTTTTTTCCCAGTTGAAGCTAACGACGTCGTAGAGAAACTGTTAGATCCACTGGATCCTGTTTTCTGAGTCGGGTTGGCCCAACTGAAACGATTTGTCTCTTTCGGGTTTGACCCGCTCCTGCTCCGAAAAACTGACCCGGCCCAATCGATCATGCCCTCCTTTTTTGCTACCGTATATGCCTACATCATCATCATCTTCTCTCAACTCTTCCTCTACGTCCTTTACGATTCGCATCATCTGCATCCGATTCAGGGGATTGAGAGTCCGAACCCTACGACGAATTTGTGGCTTCAAACCACTCATAAATAACCCAGATACTATTCCTCTAGAAGTCGTCCCACTTGTGACGACAAAAGCTCAAAAGCTTCCACAAATTCTTCTACACTACCACTCTATTTCAACGTGGATAATTCCTCAAAAGGATTCTCCAGACGTCTTCCTTCAAAGCGCGCAATCAGTCTCTTTTTCAGCTTTTCCCAGAACAGATCGTCCTCTGTTTCCATCAAAAGGTTAAACCAGTGTATGGTAGAACCTTCCATACTCAGACGTGCCAACTTCACTCGCATCTCATCAGTCGTATTCTGCACATCAAAATAGATCTCAGCTCGTGTGATCCATGCAACAGGATCGTCTCCTTCGAATAGTGGCAGTTTCACCTTCTTCCCTGACAAACGTGATTCTTCATGCGAAGACTCACCCATGGAATCCCCACTCTCCTGATTCGTATTCTTTTGACCGATTTGATTGCATAAATCAGAGAGAACCAAGCTTTGTTGTTGCATCTGTTGAGCCAAAGTTTGCAGTGTAGCTTTGACGTCAACCATCTGTGTTTCCAACGCGTCCATACGATCTCCCATCTTAGGCTTTCGTGGCATCTACAATTTCGGTACGGTGATTTTTTGATCCGGTAGGTCGGACCAATTGATGGGTTGATGTGTGAAAAATATGAACAAACTGTGGAGAAAAAATTAAAGAGATGGAAGAAAACTGCAGTGGAATTAATGGAAAATCAATTACAAGAGTAAGAAAATGAATAATGACAAAATAACAAACTGATAGTAACAGTCACTATCAGCCCCGGTAGCACGCAGTGCTCCCAAATCACTGTGAAAGTGACCCCACACAATAACAGAATTCTCAGCCGACTATTCTCTCTGACTCCAACCACTAATATAGGAAACCTCTCATGCAAATCATGCAGTCACGTCATTATCCCTTATTCCTTTCCCTTTCTTTCTCCTGTAAACCCTCCAAACCTTTGGCTTGGGCCCACTGTCAAGGCCCACCACTTGATTCACCTTTCTATCATTCGCACACATGGGTATACTCATTTCCCACTCATGAATTCTCGAGAATGTGATTCCTAAACTTGAAAGTTGAAACATAACCAACGCATTCACATGTTTAAAACAGACAGTATGAAGGGTAGAAAACTTGTTTTCTAGCTGTATGGGAATAAATACAAAACAACTCCAAAAAGGGTAAAATGACAACTCATAATATCATATGTGTTTTTATTGTTGCTAAAATTATCGTACAAATTATTTAGTATATGGATGTTTAAGATATGTGTTTTCATTGTTGTTAAATTTTTGTGAAATAGCGGCGCTATAGCACTGTTGCGCGGCGGAATTTGTACAAATGACTATTTCCATGATCCGCAATTGACAACACAAACTGTGTTTATAATCCTTTTAAAGGTAAATAGTGAACACATGTAGTATGCATGTTGGAAATATAAGTAAATTAATAAAAATGTTGAAGCATGTGCTGCACTTACCCTGTTCATAGTGTACAGGGCTTCTACCATTTCCATGGTCCTATTACGTACTGCAAGAGCAACCTGTATACATAGTAAAAATGTCACTGAAGGATGGCATGTTTGGTAATTGCGTTGCACTAGGAATAGAAGTACATTAAAGATGGCAGATTCATAAAACAAGACACAATCATGATCCTGCAACTTTCCATAGAAATCCTAGCAGTATTTACTAGATACACAGCTCATTTAGAATCTTATATACTAAGGATTGAAGGTTAGACTTGTTTTTTAACCTGTATTCAATACAAAGCACCTTTTATTACTAAAGAACTATATCTAACCTTCTTCCAGTCTTTCCCATGTTCACGGTAAGCTTCATAGAAACATTCAAGTTCCTCCTTACTCCATTGTGGTCCTAACATGTCCGCCAATTTTCTCTTCTGCATAGAATTGAAATTTGAATAAAAGCAAATGAAAAATGGAAATTTTCTTTCCCATGTTCTGAATACATCTATACAAAAAAAAAATTGTTTCAAATAAGCTAAGAAACAAATTCACCTTCTGAATACCATGACTGGCCTTCTGTCTGTTCTTGCCAGTATTTGGTGCATCTTTATCTTTACTAGATGCAGCCTCACGAATATTAGAGAACCTCTTATTTACACTTCTAGATTTCCTGGTAGGGCCCATGATTGATTTCTTTGACTTTCTGAAAATCGCCAAAAAGGAAGAGGAATTTCAATTGAGTCCTAGACTCTAGATGTGACAGTCTAACACTTGTACAAAATGACTCACCAAAAAAAAACACTAGTACAAAATGACCAATAGCTGAAATGGTGCCTCCTTTCCCTCTTAAAGTAATGTTGTTGAGGAATCACAGGTTCAAAACCCAGAAGGTGCAAGTCTGCCAATGAAAAATATAGCATATTAACAATGAAGTACTGGTATTCACATAGAATACATCTGCATTTGATTGCGTGTTTTACAGCTTCAACAATAATATATGATAATAATTAACATAACACCACTGTTTGATCTATTAATGACAACTTGAGTATGGCTTTGAGCACTATCCATTTGTTTGTAAATACTAGGCAAGGTGACAGCCAAATTTACAGATACAAACTACTAGTTAAATAACAAACAACAACAATAACAAAAGCAACCAAGCTTTTTTCCACCGAGCAGTTCAAACTACAGTTAAACAACTTAAACAGAAATTAGAGTCTGAATACTAAATTAGACAAGAGCAACCAAGCGACAATGAGGGAGCGCTTAACGCCAGCTGCTCTTGCCCTGTGTAGGAAGTGAATGTACCAGTGATGATCAACAGTGGACAAAAGGCCTAAGCCCGATCAAACTGCTTCAAACTACTACTCAATACTCTACCAAGTTCGAATTCCCACCTAGACCAAAAAAATATAAGATGCACAGCACAACTCCAACAGTGCAGTCTTAAACCCGAATAGTGGATAGATAGCCAGTCCAAACATCCAGAAGGGATGGTGGATCGAACTCTCTAATTTCAATAATTACCATTTTAAAAATGCAATCACATACATATCAATCAATTATCAACAAAATCAATACCCATAAATGCAACCTAACCACAGAGTAAGACACTGAAATTTGACAGTGTCTAATTCCAAGAAATTTACAACTCAGCGAGTTAAAACTTCTCACTCAATGATCCCTCGATTTTCCCGCCAACAAATAGAAAACCTAACATTGAAGCTTGAATTTCAGTTCAGTTAAAATAAAAGGAAATAAATTAAAACCACAGCTACAGCGTAATTTGACAGTTGAGAAACAAACACTTGCATGTTAGGTGAAGAAATTCAAAAACCTCACTCAAAATCCATCAAACTTAACATAAAAACGATCGAGTTAGTTAATCCCTAAGAAACAACACAAACACGCATTTCACTTTATCCGAGTTAACAAATTCGAAAACAATCAAAGAATCGGAATATTTGATCGAAACAAACCTTTGATCTGAAGAACACAGAATTGAAATTGCGAATCTAAGATGAAGAAAAACCCTTAACATTGATGAATTTGAAAATTGAAAAAAAAAAAAGAAAAAAAGTGAAGAAGATAATTGAGTTGAGAAAGAAGCTTTTCTCACCGATCGATGAAGGAGAATCTATGAATCTGGATTGAATTGAGTGAGTGGGGATCTAGTGAAGTTGCGGAGCAGGAAGAGGAATTGGAGAGAATGATGATGGTGAAGGAAGGTGAAGAACAACTCGTACTTGTCTTGTTGTTTTTGCTGGCGTAAATGAAATGAAATGAAATTGAGGGCATAACCGCGAAACTTTAAAATAATAGTACCACAGATGAGTTCTAGGGTGAGGTTCTAATTAAGAACGTGTTTCGTTTTACTTTTGAACTAAGGCATGGAATTATTTCTCAAAATATAAAATTGTTGACATGCTTTGTGTCTTTAGAATTACATTAATTTTGTTTAGAGTTGTTTCTTATTTTAAATTGAATTTTGTAGTTTTTAAGTTTAAATGAAAATTTTATGTTCAACTCATTTTTAGATAAATAAATTTAGTTATTTTTTATTTGATTCATTTTTAAGGAAAATGGATTCATAAAAAAGTAAATTGTTAGTTGATTAAATGATGATTGACGCTGAACTTGATAAAAAGAACCACGGTTTGATCTTTGCAATTGTGATCGAGAGAAAGATGAAATCACATGAAATCAGAACTAACATTTGAACTGAATTAATAGATCAAGTGGATCAGATACTAGACGTGACGAAAAAAACACATAATAAAAAAATGGTTTAATACCCTTTTGGTCCCTTATGATAACTTTGGGGTTCATTTTGGTCTTTTAACTTTTAAAATATTCATATTGGTCTCTTAATCATTCAAAACTCTCCATATTAGTCATTTTTATCCTATTAGCGACAGGAAAATTCAAAAGTTAGTCGCAAAATTTGTAGCTAATTAGACAAAAAGGACTAATATAAAATGTTTTGAAGAGTTAAAGGACTAATATGAACATTTTTAAAGTTAAAGGATCAAAATGAACCCGGAGTTATAAAGGACCAAAACGATATTAAGCCTAAAAAAATTGGAGGCATAATCCAACCAATAATTTTGTTTAGAGCTTATTAACACGGGATATGAGTAGTAATTAATGGAATCATTGATCGTTATCATACTTAGAATCGATATTCATTGAGAGAATAATCATCCCTAATTATTACTCGATTAATGCTCTGTTTAATGTCAATTGTATCCTATAATACTTTTCTAAGGTTTTTGTTTTCATTTTATTTTTATTGCATCACATATATTGCTCGACTCTGTGTGCATATCAAGTCCTAGTAGTCATCCAAATTGAAATATCTCGATCAATTTAAATATACAATGAAAATTATCATGCTAATATCACAACAATACGACTAAACGGTGTTAATTGTTTTTTATAGTCACAATTTATCATATATATCTTAATCGTTTTTTTATAATCGTAATCAGTGTATATATATATATATATATATATATATATATATATATATATATATATATATATATATATATATATATATATATATATATATATATATATATATATATATATATATATATATATATATATATATATATATATATCTTAGAAGGAGAGGAAAAAATATCTAGATAACTAGAGACAAGAAACAACAAACAAATTATACATGGAATGCTGAGAATTCCATGGTCATGGCATGGTTAGTAAATACCATGGCTTAAGAAATAAGTGCAAATTATCTCTTTTATGCTATTGCAAATTTTTTTTAGGAAAAGTGTCTCACAAATGTACTTCAATTTAGAAAATTAATCCCAGATTTATGAATCAACTCTATAATTTGGACAACAATCCCAAATTTATGAATCAACTCTATAATTTAGACAACATCGATAAGTTGAATATTAGGTTATCAAATGCTTCAATTGTCTCAAACTTATTTGAAAAGATTAAGACTTTTTCAATGAGTACGAGTGGAAGTCATTCAAGGACAATAGATATTATAAGAAGATAATGGATGTTAGTCGCGTCTTCAAGTTTCTTGCAAGTATAAATATTGAATTTGATGGGGTTTGTGGCCAAATTTTAGGCAAAAATCCAATCTACCCAACTGGTGAAGTCTTGCAAGTACGTCACAAAGAGAGTCGTCAACAAGTGATGCTAGAAAAAAAATACAAATGTTGTACCTGCATCTGTCAAAAGATTTGCCTTGGTCATTTCCTCATGACGATCATAAACTACTTCTTAATCAACAAGGTGGAAACAATGGTAATTTATTTTGCAACTATTGTAGTCACAAACGTCACACTCAATAAACTTGCTTCAAACTATGGGAGAGGTCAAACAATGGCATGGTTGCTAAATTTTGTAATTGTCACATGTTTGTGGCCAATGAGTTTGACTCGTCTCCATTTATAAATGAGCAGGTGAATCATCTTCTTATGCTTTAGTTCAATTTATCCTCTAAGATTAATTTTGAACTATAGCACAAAATAGGTCAGGATTATTATGCATTATCTGCACCAAACCAATTTTGCCATTCGATAATAAATTCTCTGGATTTTTTTTTTTTGCTGGAAAAAAAAGTTTAGGTGAATTGGGCTCCGGGGGCTCACCAGGGTCAGGGAAGGACTCAAGGCTCAAAGGGCGCTTATATAGATACTTACATATCACCCACCAAGAAGATCCACAGAAATTTGAATACATGACTAATTGCTTTGATCTATTCATTTCCTATTTCTCTAGTTAAGGTTTTGAAAATGTTAAGATAGTTATTGGTAGTTATTATAGTATTACAGATAAAGGCAACATAAAATTTTCAGCGCAAAACACTTTGCAATTTCTTTTGCATGTTCATAAATCCCCCACTTAGTGTTACCAATAAATTCCTCACTTAAACTAGTTTCAGTTATCATCTATCGAGATAATTGGTCAATTTGCATTTCCAAATTTGGCTTAATTGCAATGTTGGTCCCCATATTTTGTTTTTTTTTTATAGTTTTGGTCCCATTATTTTAAAATCTGATTTTTGAGTCCCCTTTTAAGTAGACATGACAACATAATTCATACTCGCGGGTACTCACCCAAACCTGTCATGAATTTGACGGAGAAAATCCGCTTTGATCGGGTTTAGGTTTTTCTCGATTATAAAATATGAGGACGGGTCGGGTAATGGAGACACTAGTATCCACCTAAAACCCGTCCCCCGAATCCATCTTGTTTATTTTATTATGTGCTTTATTATTTTAGTTTTGATCATTTAGAATATTAAATATGTGGTTAATGTTTTGATATTTTGATTTATATTTATTATTTAAAATATTTGAAATGTATGCATGAAATTTTATGAGATATTTTTATTTTATTATTTGTAACGTAATTTTATTTTGGAAAAATAAATATCTTCATTAAAAAAAGTGATTTCATTAAATAGATGGTGGCGGGACGGAGATACCCAAACCCGTTTGGGATGAATTTGGATTTTAATTTTTAATCTCCGATGGAGTTTGGGGGCGAAAAATGGAGATTGTTTTGAGATTCGGGTTTGAGTTTAGGAGAAGTAATAATCGTCCCCGATCCGCCCGTTGCGATGCGTACTTCTAAGTTTTTTTTTAAAGATTTTAATCACCTATCAATTTGAGACCAATTTTAAATGACTTATGACTTAGCATTGTTAGTGATAACGTGTCATATTACATTGATCAAATTTTTAGTGACGTGTCAATTTAATGTTATTATTTATTAAATTTTATTATCTTAAAAATTATTTGTATTAATTTAATATTATTAAAATATAAAAACAAACATCAAAATTAATTATTTTAATCTCTAAATCAAAATTATCCTCACTTTTGTTTAATAAAATCTTAAATTATCTTTATTAATATTATACCTTAATTTTTGTCACCTTATTATAATTCCTCCATTTTTTTTAACGTCAACTTCATTATTTTTATCATTATGATTCAACTTTTTTTTCATGTGTTTTATTCTATTCATTTTTATTTATTATTTTATTTGTAATAACTTAATTGTTTTATAAGTTGTTGTGTTGTATTACATATTAATATATACTTGTAGAATGAGTTATATATTATCTAAAATTTAATTTTATAAATATTTTATAGGATTAGATGGATCATCGAGATGAGAAAATGGTTCATATGATCATTGATCATATAATGTGATTTTATGACGTTTATCAGTATTTTATTTTTATTTTAAGATATTTTATAGTACTTTAAATGTTAAATATTTTGTGTTTGATTATCTATGTTTTATTTATGAATTAACAAAAAAAAATGGTTATTATTATTTTTTAAAATTTATTTAGCCTGAGTGTTATAATATTTTAAGGGTAAAAAGGTAAATTACTTTAAAAACCTCTTCCCTCCCCTTGTGAATCAAAGATATATTTGATTAAATCTTCTCTCTCTCCTCCCCTTCCCCGCTTATGAACCAAACATACGTTGAATTAAAATACACCCCCTCCCCTCTCCTCCGTTGAACCAAATAGACTCTTACACAAGCTAATTAAAGAAGATCAAAAACCATTTATTCTAAACAACTCTATTTTAGATAAACTTAACTAACTAAAAAGACTTTCACCAAACATTAGTTTACAATTGAAGAAACATAAATCGTCAACAACAAACGTTAACCTCGGCAAAAACACTTGTTTTTTCTCATTCCAAAACACACAGAAAGTCACCACTCAAAAGCCCTCTCAGATCCTCAAATGATATCTTCCTCCAAATCCTAGCCAAAACGGGAACTCACACTAAGAAACCCCATTGCAAAAAAAAACAAATCCTTTAGGATTTTCGATTTCTTTTTCAAGAAACTAACGCAATGAAGCAAAAATAGAAAGTGTGAATTAATTAAAGGTGATGTTTCTGTTAAGGATATTTTGAGATAGGATACTTCTATTGGAATAAGAAATAGAAAATCTTTCAATAAAGGCACCGAGTTGCGTTCATGTGAGTAGAGTTTGTGATGAACACGAAGAAACAAAATGCAGATTGCACTTGTTTTGATCAACATGAGTTTGTCTACAAAAGCCCTTTTTGTTTCATTTTTGAAAAGGTCCCCTCAAATTATGGGTTTTGTTCATTTTAGGTTTTGTTTAGCTTTTGATTTAGAGATTAAATTGAATAATTTTAATTTTTTTAGTTTTAATACTATTAAATTTAGGGTTAAATATGTCAGGGGTCCTCATAAATATGTCAACATTCAATTTTAGTCCCTCTAAAAATTTTCTTCAAACAATGGTCATCACA